CCATGGAGAAGTGCCCCTTTACATCTTTTGCCAATGGAGAAGGACTTCTTTACATTGGTTGTCATTGGAAGATAAGCCATCTTCTAATGGTGGTCACTGGGAGAGGAGCCCTTTTACACCGGAGGACCATGGAGAAGAGCCCTCTTACATTGCTTGCCAGTGGAGAACATCCTAAATACTTTGGTTGACCCTGTGAGAAGAGCCACCTTCTACTGGTGGTCTGTGGCAGAGGTGCCTCCTTACACAGGCGGTCCATGGAGAAGTGCCCCCTTTCATCCTTTGCCAAAGGAGAAGGATCACCTTCCATTTGTTGTCCCTGGGAGAAGAGCCATCTTCTACTGGCGGTCAGTGGGAGAGGAGCCCCCATACACAGGTGGACCATGGAGAAGTGCTCTCTTACATTGCTTGCCAGCGGAGAAAAATCTCAATACTTTGGTTCTCACTAGGAGAAAAGTCACCTTTTATTAGTGCTCGGTGGGAGAGGTGCCTCCTTACACAGCTGATCCATGGAGATGTGCCCCTTATATCCTTTGCCAGTGGAGCAGGACCTTACATTATTTGTCACTCTGTGGAGAAGAGCCACCTTCTATTGGTGGTCAGTTGGAGAGGCGCTCCATTATGCTGGTGGCCCACAGAGAACTATCCCATTATATTGTTTACCAGCAGAGAATGACCAACTTACGCTGACTATCACTGGGATAAGAGCCACCTTCTACTGGTGGATGATGGAAGAAGGGCCCCATTATATCAGTGGTAAGTGGAAGAAGCCAAAATATTATTGGCATCAGTGGTTACTTTTCTGGAGGTCAGAGACTGATCATTTCACAGGGATCCCTAGCAACGTATGGAGGAACCTTAGGGTTCCATGCAACACTGATTGAGAATGGATGCTTTAAATAATAAAAAATGAAATCAAACTTGTGAAGGGCGAGACATGAGTCTATGAGGACAGAAAAAACACATAACTGCGCATCAAAGTCATCACTAGATCCAGAGATGCAGGTAGCTAAAGTTATGTACAAATCCAAAAGTTTCCTGGAAGAGCCAACTTCTTCCCACTCCTATTGGTCTTTTAAGTGATGGGCATCCTCACTAACCAATAGTGAGGTTCAGGTCCCTGGAGAGGGTTGGACCAGATAGAAATTTTAGAGGAAAAGGTTGATTTTACCTATAATTTCGTCTCCTTGTGTCTCCAGATCTAACGATCGGTTTGACATGAGACTTTCACTTAAGGTCATCTCTACTTGTGCATTTTTATTTTTGATCAGTTTTAAAAGGAAGGTTCTTAATTAAATGCACCAAGGAGTTAATCATATCCCTCAATAAGTGGATTTCCGCCCTGTGCCCACTGACTGTGAAGATGGATATCCACTGGAAGGATGAACAAGGACAGTAATGTCTTCAGATAACAATCAAGGGATTCATGGGAAGACACCATTGGGCACACACGGTGTCACAGCTGGGCGCTCAGCCCGTCTCCGAGGTCAGACACAGAGTGACATTCACAGGTCCTGCTGGCCCTTCTTCACACACGGCTCCCTGTTGCTGGAAACGCAGCGCAAGAATGCCCGCAGAAAAAGGCGGGTCGGGGAAAAAACAGGGGGGGGGGTTTAATTGCGGCACAGAGACTTTTTGAAAGGGTCCGGAAGTAAACACAGGCTTCCAGAGTAGCTCTAAAATATAGAAAAGTCGTCAACAAACTTCATTGTAAGGCGCCGTAAACACGACTGTGCCCTTTGATGAAGGCGCTGAACCGCTTTGAGGCCACAAGTCTTATTAGGGCCCCAAAAAAGGATCTTTTACCCGAGGGCCCAAAGGGAAGGTAGTTGCAGATGATGAGGTCCAAGTTTTAAAGTTGACATATATCAATAGGGGATGCACCGATACCAGGGGTGGACTGACCATTTGGGAACTCAGGCACTGTCTGAGGGTCCGGGGTCAGTAGGGGGCCCATGAGATGCCCCTGGAACCTTTCATAGGCTTTTTTGGGTGTGGTTTGTGTGGGCGAGGGCACAGGGGCCCCATGATCCCCTATTGCCATGAGTTGTCAATTCACCCCTGAGCGATACTGTTTTTTTCATCGACAAGTCCAAGTACCGATATTTGTGCTCAAGTACTCGCCGATACAGATCACCGAAATCTTTGCAGTGCGATTTAAGCCCATGTAAAATGAATGGTTCAAATCGCACTGCAAATCCCAGCACACCCGCAGGGAAACCGCATGTGATTCGGATAGAAACCGCATCGCATTCCTGTTCAGATCACATGCGATTCTTTGCAGTGCGATTCGAGCCCATTCATTTTGTATGGGCTCAAATCACACTGCAAAGGAATCGGTTTCAGGCATCGGAGTACTCATGCAAATGCTTAATATCAGCACAGATATTGGTGTTGGTGTCAGTGCAACCCTACAAAATAATGCAGCTCTGAAATCCTTTTAAATGCAAGCAGTGTAAGCACCTGATATCAGCAGTTCCCTTTACAGCAGAGCTCAGACTGGGAGAGGGAGAAGCATCACAAGGAGTCAATCAGTTGTGTTGCATGAGTTAGCAAAAGACATGTCGATAGAAGCAGAGAGAAGAGCTCATCCATCTGCTGCTCCTCTTTTTACTGTCCAGTCACAGGACGGGGTAGGTCAATGACAGCCTATGCCAAGAAAATGTCGGAGCTATGATGCTGTCCATCCTTAAACCCGGAAAACATATGACATCTAAAAGGCAGAAATTAAATTCTGCGGTGGAGAAGGGAAAGAGGGGTGGGGGGGGAGGTTTAAGAGGGGCTCTGGATTGAAGGTGGGTATTGCAGCAATTATCTGTGCACAGTGCTCATGCACTAATAAGGAGCATGCTTTATAGGAGAAAAGAGCAGAGCGGCAGGGAGATGAGCTCATCACTGTGCTGCTTCTCCTTTCACTGTCCAATCACAGGCTGGGGTGAGTCCAGGAAGACCTGGATTTGGAAGTGGATCTGGCATCAGACTGAGGACATCTAGTGGCAGAAAAAAGTAATGCAGGGAAATCTCTGGATTGGAGGGTAATATTGGAGCAAAAGCTGTTCTTGTTAGTTTGTAGCTATACGCAGGGGCGGACTGACAACTCATGGGGCCCCCGGGCAATAGGGGATCACCACTTGTCACTCTTCATGTCTATGGCTGACTGTAGGCTTATTGGCCTTATCATCACCTGTAATCAGCCGCACTGTTCAATCTATTGGTCTGAAAGCCCACATGGAAGAAAAATATATTTGAAATATATTTTAAAAATAGTCTTACCAAATAAAGTGACATGTGTTTGAAATGCTACAATGTTGGCCATATTCAATATATTTCAAAATATATTTATATATATATATATATATATATATACACACATACACACACTGCATGTTGAAATGCATTTTTATTACAAAATATATGAAAAATATTTTTTAAAATACAATTTCAAATATACTGTATGTCTTTAAATACACAAATCTCCATTTTTGGAATGCATTTACCAACATATGTAAAAATATACGTTAAAATGACTTTTTTATATGTTAAAAAAAAATCTGTAGAATATATTTGAAAAATATATATTTTTAAAAATATATTCTTCAGATTTTTTTTTTACATATAAAAAAAAAGTAATTTTAACACATATTTTTTACATATATTTGTAAATGCATTCCAAAAATACAGATTTTGTATTTTTAAAGAAATACAGTATATTTGAAATGTATTTTTAAAAAATATTTTTCATATATTTTGTAATAAAAAACGCATTTCAACATGCAGTATATATAAATATATTTATTTATTGAAATATATTTTGAAATATATTGAATATGGGCAAAATTGTAGCATTTCAAATATATGTCAATATATTTGGGAAGAATATTTCAAATATATTTTTCTTCCATGTGGGAGACAGAGAGTCACTGCAGAGACAATCTACAGATATTCACCTAATTTTATAATAATAATAATAGGAAAGTCACCTCTAAGGTCACTTAAAGTAGATGTAAACCATAACCGACTGACACTGAGTTTGCTAAAGCGCTGTATATCAAAACCAACTGCCATTTTCCTTACTAAAATACTGTTTTCCCTTTTTTTTTCCATCCCGTGTTACATTTTGCAGCATTGTGCAGTAATTGTGCGTTACTGCACCTTCAGCTCTTGAAAAACAATGCACTCCCTGTGTGGCTGACATTTTATTATTGTTATATTATTATTATACAGGATTTATATATTATTATACAGGATTGTTATATTATTATTATACAGGATTTATGGCGCCAACAGTTTGCTCAGCGCTTTACAATATAACGGGAGACAATACAGCAACAATACAGTTCAATACAAGAGGGTTAGGAGGACCTGCTCCTGGGAGCTGACAATCTTATCTCACCAGTAATTGCACTGGGCCACTGGGAGCTCCCTCTAGTGGCCAAACTGCAAATACCTATCTGTAATAAATTATAAAAAGCTTGTAAAATTGTAAAAATCACATAAAAAACTAATAAAACCTCAATTACAAGCTCACTGGGAATACACTGCACATTCATGGAATAATAATGTTGGGAAGAAGATAATGTAATCGTATAAATATCTGCACACAGAAAACACAAAAGAATTTTCTTGAACACATAATAGCGATCTATGTAAATATCTGCTCAGTGAAAATACAATTTCCCTTTATTAATGTAAAGAAACAGCACAGTTTTTAGCGCAATTATCTAAACCTGAACTCCAGGGAAATTTTAAAGCCCCCAGCATTCCCCCTTTTGTAGTTTTCTGCAGTGGGGGTGGAGCCTGCTGGGCCCCTCCCACAGATCTGCGCAGACTATGTACAGGACAGTGATGATGTCCATGCTACTTTTACAAGGTAATATCTGGTTTTGTAAAGGCATTCCCCTTTAATGACAGTGTTGTAGACACTCTGTCCTGCATGGAAGTGGAGCGTAGTGTGCACATTGTGATGGGGAAGTTCCAGCCCTGGAGGGGATCATCTGTCTTACCTGGAGTCTGGTGTGCGCTGACAGCCCGAATGATGATCAGAGCGCACAGGAGCAGAGCGGAGAGCGGCAGCTGCATGGTGAGTGATCTGTGAGAAGACATGGAATGAGACAGATGAGGAGCAGACACCCCGACGTCACATGGACAGGAGACCTCTCCCCCCTATAAACTGTACATTACAGGAGACCTCTCCCCCCATAACTGTACATTACAGGAGACCTCTCCCCCCTATAACTGTACATTACAGGAGACCTCTCCCCCCTATAACTGTACATTACAGGAGACCTCTCCCCCCCTATAACTGTACATTACAGGAGACCTCTCCCCCCCATAACTGTACATTACAGGAGACCTCTCCCCCCATAACTGTACATTACAGGAGACCTCTCCCCCCCATAACTGTACATTACAGGAGACCTCTCCCCCCTATAACTGTATATTACAGGAGACCTCTCCCCCCTATAACTGTAACAGGAGACCTCTCCCCCTATAACTGTACATTACAGGAGACCTCTCCCCCCTATAACTGTACATTACAGGAGACCTCTCCCCCCTATAACTGTACATTACAGGAGACCTCTCCCCCCTATAACTGTACATTACAGGAGACCTCTCCCCCCTATAACTGTACATTACAGGAGACCTCTCCCCCCTATAACTGTACATTACAGGAGACCTCTCCCCCTATAACTGTACATTACAGGAGACCTCTCCCCCCTATAACTGTACATTACAGGAGACCTCTCCCCCCTATAACTGTACATTACAGGAGACCTTCCCCCCTATAACTGTAGGAGACCTCTCCCCCCTATAACTGTACATTACAGGAGACCTCTCCCCCCTATAACTGTACATTACAGGAGACCTGTACATTACAGGAGACCTCTCCCCCCTATAACTGTATATTACAGGAGACCTCTCCCCCTATAACTGTATATTACAGGAGACCTCCCCCCCCCTCTCCCCCTATAACTGTATATTACAGGAGACCTCTCCCCCCTATAACTGTACATTACAGGAGACCTCTCCCCCCTATAACTGTACATTACAGGAGACCTCTCCCCCTATAACTGTATATTACAGGAGTACCCTATTGTACAGGAGACCTCTCCCCCTATAACTGTACATTACAGGAGACCTCTCCCCCTCTATAACTGTACATTACAGGAGGAGTACATTACAGGAGACCTCTCCCCCTATAACTGTACATTACAGGAGACCTCTCCCCCCTATAACTGTACATTACAGGAGACCTCTCCCCCCTATAACTGTACATTACAGGAGACCTCTCCCCCCTTACAGGAGACCTAACTGTACATTACAGGAGACCTCTCCCCCCTATAACTGTACATTACAGGAGACCTCTCCCCCTATAACTGTACATTACAGGAGACCTCTCCCCCTATAACTGTACATTACAGGAGACCTCTCCCCCCTATAACTGTACATTACAGGAGACCTCTCTCCCCCCCTATAACTGTACATTACAGGAGACCTCTCCCCCCTATAACTGTATATTACAGGAGACCTCTCCCCCCTATAACTGTATATTACAGGAGACCTCTCCCCCTATAACTGTATATTACAGGAGACCTCTCCCCCCTATAACTATACATTACAGGAGACCTCTCCCCCCATAACTGTACATTACAGGAGACCTCTCCCCCTATAACTATACATTACAGGAGACCTCTCCCCCCTATAACTGTACATTACAGGAGACCTCTCCCCCCTATAACTGTATATTACAGGAGACCTCCCCCCCTATAACTTTTCATCACAGTGCTGTCACCTGTATCACAATTATAAATGTGCCTTAGCCGGAAAGATTCACTCTCTCTATTTGTCCTGTTGACATGATCAGAGCTGCCTTTAAAAATCATGGGGCACCAACCTGACAGGGCCCCATACCTCACAGGGTCACCCCAACTGTGACCCACCTGGGAAGGCTCCCAGCCACCCTGCTACCTGATAGAACCCCCCCAACCATCCCACCTGACAGGCCCCCCCCCAACCTCTCTCCTATCTAACCGGGACCCAAACTCCCCAACCCACCCCCACCTGACAGGGCCCCCCAACCTCTCTCCTACATAACCGGGCCCCAAACTTCCCAACCCACCCACCCCCACCTGACAGGGCCCCATACAGCCTACCTTTCAAGACCACCATTACTAACAAGGCCCCCCCTAACTCTGCTCCATTTGAGAAGGTCCCCCAACTATCCCACCTGACAGGGCCCCCTCAACCCCACTCCACTTGTCATGGCCTCCCAACCTCCCTTCCATCAGACAGAACCCCAACAAACCTGACAGTGCCCCATAGAGTTTAAGTGACAAGGCCCTCCATACCTAATAGGGTCCCCCCAACTCTGCCCCACCGCCTATTTGACAGGGACCCCCAACCTTCCTCCTACCCGACAGGGCCACCCACTCCCATACAGCCTACCTGACAAGAAGGCCCAACTCTGCCTCATTTGGGATGGCCACCAATTACCCTCCTGTCTGACAGGTCCCCCAACCATCCCACCTGACATGGCCCCCCAACATCCCACCTGACAGGGCCCCCCAACCTCCCTCCTCCCTGACAAGCCCCCCCCCCCCCCCAACCATCCCACCTGACAGGGCCCCCTCAACCTTCCCCCTACCTGACAGGGCCCCAAACTCCCCAATCCACATACCCCAACCTGACAGGGCTCCATATAGCCTACTTGGCAAGATCCCCATACCTAATAACAGGGTACCCCTAACTCTGCCTCACCTAGGAAAAAGCCCTCCAACTGCCCCACCTGACAGTACCCCCCTCTAATTGACAGCCCCCATCCATCCCACCAGACCAGGTTCCCCATTCCCTCTTTAAAGGGCCCACATTCAGCCCCTACTGGGCCTGGGTTCCCTTGCTGATGCAACAGGGCCTGGTACAGAATTACTGCCTGCACCCCTCTATCAGCAATCCTGGAGACCAGAAATCTAAAATCTTACAGTTGTCACCATAACAGGATTAAAGGGAATTTTTTCAATGGGGACACCTGTTTCAGTGACAACTAACAGTCAGACACCTGTCAGGTCTTTCATTTGCTGTCAGTAATCCATCAAGAAGATTCCCTTCACGTTCTGTCCCAACAAGAGGAATTTTCTCCAAAATGAATGAAAATACCGTTCACCGAGACTAATGCTCCATTCTAAACTAAATTCTCGCTACTGGGCGGAGTTCAGTTGACATTCGAATTAAAGGGAAATGAGCAGGAACATGCCGTTCTCTTCTTCTGCAAATGCAAGTTGCCCGGTTTTCATGCTGATGCAATGGGTTCAATGCTATCGCTGACCAAAGGGGCAATGTAACGGAACCGTCCCAGCCTGTGATGAGTACTTCCGTTAGAATACCGCTTCCCCGTCCGAACACCGACCACAGACACCACAGATTTGAAGTAAACCAGGAAATAGACTACTTTATTTTAACACAGATACAAGATATATACATTCAAGGGAACAACCCCCCCTCCCTGCATAATGACACAGGGTGGGGAAATCTACCTTTAGTAACAAGAGACACACCAACAGACAGTCCCATCAGTCCCCACCAAGCCAATACACATAAACACATATATCCCTTAATAGTTTGCTCCCAAGCAAGACACACAATAGAATAATGGGATGCAACCACATGGCATTAAACAATCCACAACCCCCCACCCCAATATTAGGACAGATCACCCTGTACCCCTAACAGGCACAGGGTGACTTACACATAAGAGGGATATGGGGAGCTGAGACAGGGGTCTCCACACCTCTCCAAAGTGAGCTGGGTTCCATGGGCCGTCACAGGCAAGCATGGTGATTGTGAATAGTGATGGGACACTACTACTGGGACAGTACTAAACCCATAAATAGCAGGGCTCTAATGGCCCTGGAGCCAGTATGCATATAAGAGCCCAGACTTCACTGGCTGCATACTTGTTCCAGAGCAGTGACACAGAAAATAATGAAGTTGTGGGATCGGCAATGGCAGTCTTGATGTTGAGAGAAGAGCTGACCATTCAAATCCTGTACGGGGTCTGTGGAATTGGAGATGATGTGTCTACAGATGTCTTATCGTGGAATCTCAATACATCTGTGATAGTGTGCAGGTGTGGGGGCGGGGCTCAGCCTGCAGGTCACATGACCTATATTAGTATGTGGGCATTATTCCGCACTTGTGATCACGAGCAATATTCTGATAACGTCCCAACCTGCCTGGAGCTCCCCAGATGTGCTGGAACACAAGGCTCCCTCCTACGATAGGGGGGCTGCCATTGCTGGACACCTTCCAAAAATGCTACTTGCATGGCTGTTACCTTGCGTCAATGCTTTCCGATTCATTCATCTGGAATGCAGATCATTAAAACCCGAATGCTTTTTCCAGGTTGGTGATACAAAGTATTGAAGCATGGGAGTCAGGCGACTGGACTTTTCCCCTATAACACCTTAATGGCTGCTTTCATTAAAATAAACCGTGGTGATCCTGCCATAAAGATCCTTGTTCCAGAACTTACGGTTATAGGGTGACAACGCTCCATCCCTGTCTGCCAACAGTACACCTGAGTTGTCACCCTTCCACACGGGTTCCCAGTGAAGAATGAAGTGGCAGTTTAATCACACATTACACAGATATGAAAACACTGTTGTCTCCATCAGGAAACCCACCATGAGAAATTCCATGCGGCCATCACTGGAGACCAAATAACCATGAAGTGGCTGCAAACAGGCTGCAGGAGATCAACAGCAGCACCTAAAGTGCTGTAAAGAATGACGTTTCAGCACATTCTTGCAGGCTTTTTTTGGTATTGTTTCTTTACATTTATCTAATACCCATTACTTCTTTAACATCCAACTTTAGCAATTATAATTGCAATAGGCCATCCGCTAAATTCTTGGCAAGATGGGCAATAGTTATACAAGCAACCAGGAGGCCAATTATAACAGACATAGAAAGGTTTCTCTGGTCTGATAAGACCAAAAACTGAACCAAGCGCAAAATAATGTGTGCAGTGGAAAGCCAGCTGAGAGCACCATCCCAACTGTGAAGCATGGCGGTTTTTAGCCATCTGCTAAATCCCTGGTAAGATGGGTAATAGTTATACAAGCAACCAGGAGGCCAATTATAACAGACATAGAAAGATTTCTCTGGTCTGATGAGACCAAAACTGAAACAAGCGCAAAATAATGTGTGCTGTGAAAAGCCAGCCGAGAGCGCCATCCCAACAGTGAAGCATGGCGGTTTTTAGCCATCCATTAAATCCCTTGTAAGGTGGGCAATAGTAATAAAAGCAACCAGGAGGCCAATTATAACAGACATAGAAAGGTTTTTCTGGTCTGATGAGACCAAAACTGAACCAAGTGCAAAATAATGTGTGCAGTGGAAAGCCAGCCGAGAGCGCCATCCCAAATGTGAAGCATGGCGGTTTTTAGCCATCCGCTAAATCCCTGGTAAGGTGGACAATAGCAAAAAAAGCAATCAGGAGGCCAATTATAATAGAGATAGAAAGATTTCTCTCTGGTCTGATGAGACCAAAACTGAACCAAGCGCAGAATAATGTGTGCAGTGGAAAGCAAGCTGAGAGCGCCATCCCAACTGTGAAGCATGGCGGGTTTTTAGCCATCCGCTAAATCCTTGGTAAGGTGGGCAATAGCAATAAAAGCAACCAGGAGGCCAATTATAACTGAGACATAGAAAGGTTTCTCTGGTCTGATGAGACCAAAACTGAACCAAGCTCAAAATAATGTGTGCAGTAGAAAGCAAGCCGAGAGCCCCATCTGTGAAGCATGGTGGTGGGAGCATTAGGATGTGGGGTGGCTTTGCACGGGGAGCAGGAAACTACTCAGGATCGAAATCAAGGTGGATGGGGCCAAATACAGGGCGAATGTAGAGGAACCAATTTCAGTCTGTAAGATAGTGTACATCTATGTCCTTTACACAACATCCAATGTTTGACCTTTTTACAGAATCCTTCCAAGGTTTGAAGCTCACATACAAGTTTGCATAGAATGGGGGAACACCTGAGAGTATCTAAGTCATCTGATCAGGTTGTGAGCAGATAATGGTCAGCGTCTGAGGTTTAGAATGATTGTCCTGAGAACACTGGGATGGGATGTATTAGTATCTGCAGACTTTTATCTGAGGTCTATGAGGAGTCCGTTGGATGAGGTGAAGGAAAGTCAGGTAAAGTATCTGAGGTCTATGGGAAGCAGCTGCAGACTGACAACTCATGGGGCCCCCGGGCAATAGGGGATCATGGGGGCCCCTGTGTACTTGCCCAAACTCAAAAAAGCCTATGAAAAAGGTACCAGGGGCATCTCATGGGGCCCCCTACTGACCCCGGGCTCTAGGGCAGTGCCCGAGTTTCCAAATGGTCAGTCCGTCCCTGATGGTGAGTCTATAGGATGGAGTGAAGGAAAGTCACATAAAGTATCTGTGGTCTATTGGGGGGTTCAAAGGACGAGGTGAAGGAAAGTCCGGTAAAGTATCTGAGGTCTATGGGGAGTCCATAGGACAAGGTATATATGAGTAAAGTATCTGAGGTCTATGAGGAATCTATAGGACAAGGTAAGGGAAAGTCAGGAAAAGTATTTGAGGTCTATGGGGAGTCCAAAGGATGAAGTGGAGGAAAGTCAGGTAAAATACCTCAGGTCTACGGGGAGTCAGTAGGACGAGGTGAAGGAAAGTCAGGTAAAGTATCAGAGTCTATGGGGAGTCAGTAGGACAAGGTGAAGGAAAGTCAGGTAAAGTATCTGAGGTCTATGGGCATCCATAGAACAAGGTATAAGAAAGTGGAGTAAAGTATTTGAGGTCTATGAGAAGTCTATAGGTCGAGGTAACAGAAAGTCAAGTAGAGTATCTGAGGTCTATAGAGAGTAGGTAGGTCAAGGTACAAGAAAGTCAAGTAGAGTATCTGGGGTCTATGGGGAGTCAGTAGGTCAAGGTACAAGAAAGTCAAGTAGAGTATCTGGGGTCTATGGGGAGTCAGTAGGTCAAGGTACAAGAAAGTCAAGTAGAGTATCTGGGGTCTATGGGGAGTCAGTAGTCAGGACAAGAAAGTCATAGGTAAAGTCAGTAGTAAAAAGTACCTGAGATATATGGGGAGTCCATAGGACAAGGCATAGGAGATGTCGAAGAAAGTATCTGAGGTCTATGGGGAGTCAGTAGGACGAGGAATAGGAAAGTCAGGTAAGGTATCTGAGGTCTATGAGGAGTCCATAGGGCGAAGTATAAGAAAGTGGAGTAAAGTATCTGAGGTCTATGGGGAGTCTATAGGAGGAGGTGAAGGAAAGTCAGGTAAAGTATCTGAGGTCTATGAGACGTATATACAGAGGACTCACCGTGTTGGTTCCAGGCTGTCCCAATCACTGCATGATCTGATGAGGGTCCTTGCTGTGTCTGCAGAGGAGAGAAGACACATTAGAGTGTTATCCGGACACCTCCCACTGCCAAACCTCACAGCTCATTATACGGTCCTATACACACCCAGAGAGAACAGACAACTCTGTATGACTCCCAGACACAACGTATAGAACACAGCAATCATATAATATACATCACATAAACATGGAGAAGCCAACAACAAAGATACATACTTCATTGTATGCAGAATCGACTGCGACCAATCAGCAAACAGCATCCAAAAAGTCCTAACCTGATGAAATGTGAGAGGGTAATGCTTAGACATGATAAAGGACAAAGATAGATAGATGATAAATAAATAACCAATAAATAGATAATAGACTGACAGATCGATCAATCGATAGATATGGGAGGGATAGATAGATAGATAGATAGATAGATAGATAGATAGATAGATAGATAGATATGGGAGGGATAGATAGATAGATAGATAGATATAGATAGATAGATATGGGAGGGATAGATAGATAGATAGATAGATAGATAGATAGATAGATAGATAGATAATAGATAGATAGATAGATATGGGAGGGATAGATAGATAGATAGATAGATAGATAGATAGATAGATAGATAGATAGATAGATATGGGAGGGATAGATAGATAGATAGATAGATAGATAGATAGATAGATAGATAGATATGGGATAGATAGATAGATAGATAGATAGATAGATAGATAGATAGATAGATAGATAGATATGGGATAGATAGATAGATAGATAGATAGATAGATAGATAGATAGATAGATATGGGATAGATAGATAGATAGATAGATAGATAGATAGATAGATAGATCCACATATGAACACAATGCAGATTTTACTGTATGAAACAGAAAAAGAAAGGTGTTCAAACACGAGGGACTACCAAGGCCAACTCTACCCACAACTAGGATTTCACTGTGTGGTGTCACATGATGGTGTCACTCTTCCTTGACGTGACATTGTAAGACCATATAATATCTTTCTGTGGAAGCCCTGTATGGAACAATCCTAGCACTTAGATTTGTCCCAGATTGACCTGTTCATGGCCAGCCTATGTTGTAAGGAATGATTGGCCAGAAGGGGCGGACTGACCATTTAGCCACTCAGGCACTGCCCGAGGGCTGGGGTCAATAGGGGGGCCCCATGAGATGCCCCTGGTACCTTTCATAGGCTTTTTTTGGGTGTGGTTTGAGTGTGGGCGAGGACACAGGGGCCCCATGATTTCCTATTGCCCGGGGGGCCCCATGAGTTGTCAGTCCACCCCTGTTGGCCAGTACTTAGAATATAATATTTCTGGGGTATCATGCTCCTTCTTTGCTTCTTAGTGAGTCACTGACCCTTGGGAACCCCAAACCTCCAGAATCATGCCAGGTCAGAGGCTCACTGATGGATCCTTTGGTGTTGAGTTTTTCTTCTTTTACCATCTTGGTGAGTAGTAAATAGGAGAGGAGGGAATAGCAGAATTTATTGGCATTATAGGTACATTTGGTTAGGTAAGAGTCATATTCAATTAACTGATGGGGTGTATTCCCCCCTGAGGTCATCACAGAGGACAAGGCGGCGCTCTTTATGTCTAAAGGAAAAGAAATGTAATCTCCAAACTCAGAAAGGTTTCTTCACAGTAAGAGCTGTGAAAATGTAAAATAGACTCTGTCAGGAGTTGGTTCTGGCCAGCTCAGTGGATCACTTCAAAAAAGTCCTGGATTCTTTCCTGGATACACAGAATATAACATTTATAGGTAAAGTTGATCCAGGGAATATCCGATTGCCTCTCGGGGGATCAGGAAGGAATTTTTTTCCCAGCAGGAGCAAATTGGATCGTGCTTTGCTGGGTTTTTTTTTTGCCTTCCTCTGGATCAACTGTGGGGGTAGGATTATAATTTTTTTTTTTTTTTTTCTATGGTTGAACTGGATGGACTTTTGTCTTTTTTCAGCCAGACTAACTTTGTAACTATGTATGGTTTGAGTTAAGGAGTGGTTAGGAATCAGGAACCATTTTTTTTTAACATATCATAAATGTATTTTTTTGAGGTGATCAGTGTTTAATATTCCTGCCCCAAAATTTCCATAGTCTAAAAAAAGTGCAGTTACCTGTAGATAAAAAAAACAAGCATTAAGGAGGACAAAAAAAAAACCCATAAAAAAAAAAATCTTAAAAAAAAAAAAATACATTATTTTATAGACTTTTATGATTTTTTTTTTTTTTTACAGTAGAGTACAATAGGTTTGGCAGCATTATCATCAATGCACATTGGGATGGCATCAGGTAGAGAATAGGATCATAAATACAAAAGTGTAATGAAGTGCAATTCCTGGAGTATAGTTCGGGTTGTTAGGGAGAAGGTAAAATTCCAAAGCAATCCAGGGGGGCACATCCAAAATTCATCTTTAAAATAAAAACAAAATACATATAATATTACAGACAATACAATGTAACACAGACAGAATGTTGTGTCTTTTTCAATGATAACAATCTACAACACAAAGAAGGTAATTCTATCATCCAGAGGATGCGAAGCGCAGATTTGGGATAAAACAACCCTCATTCGTCTTTCCAAGGTTCATCGACGCATCCTTCAGTGACATTGGCTGTCTTGTGTTCCGGTGTCATGTGACGTCTGGAAATTTAATGTTTTGTATCCAAAAAGTCACATCCGCCATTTTTATTTTTTTTTTTTTTTTTTTTAAAGGTAAAGTATAACTTTAATGACAGATAGGCAGAGAGACCCCCCTATAACGGTCAGTTCAGTGAAAGTGATTTTACTTTTTTTTCTTTTGGGGGTTGTGTTTTTATGTATTTATTAAGGGTAGTTTACTTAATATCATTTAATGTTTTTTATTCCCAGGGGATTTATGTGTATGTGACTGTTATTCGTGTACTGATACATATTTTTTTTTTCCAATTTGTTTTTTTCCCCATTTTGTAGTCATCTATAGCTAGATATGAAGAGAAAAAGATAGTTAGAAGGTATATTGCTGAAATTGATTTGATTTCTCTTTTTTTCCTTTTATTATTGTTTATTTTTGTGTACTATATTCTATTTAGCTTTTTTTTTTTTAATTTATGCTATTTGTGTATTGTATCATTTTATTTTTTTAAATTTCTGTTATAGATATGAATAGAGTTGTTTTGGCAAGATTTAATTTTTATAGTTATTTAGAGAGTGTGTTTTTGGGGTGGATTTGGGCTAGTTTGTTATTTTCATTTAGAGTGGTATTTAGTGAGTTTTTTCTTTTGTGGTGTGTATTTGATCATTTTGTTATTTTTATCCTTTATTCACGGTTTTTTTTAATGTATTTTGGATTATTTTATTATTTGTTATTTGCGTATTGAATCATTTTGTTCGTTTTTGTTTCTTTCTACTATTATAGGTAATAATGGAGTTATTTTGGCAAAATAGTATTTTTAAAAAATGTATTTAGGTGTGTTTTTTGGGAATATATTTGAGGTAGTTTATTTTATTTAGAGAGATATTAGGTGGTTTTTTTTTTTGTGGTGTGCATTTAATTATTTGGTCACTTTTTAATTTTTTTTTTCTGCTTTGTTTCTTTAAATGTGTGTTTGGGGTAGCTTATTTTATTTAGTCCTTTGTGAATTGCATGGTTTTGTTTTCTTTCTTTAGTTATAGATATTAATGGAATACTTTTGGAAAAAAAAAAAATTTTTAAATGTATTTTAGGGATTGTGTTTTTTGGGGATAGATTAGTTTATTTTAATTAGAGTGATATTTGTGTTTCTTCTTTTGTGGTATTTGATCGTTTTGGGTTTTTTATTCTGTTGGGAAAAAAAACTACAAAAAATTAGGTCGAAATAGGTCAAGTTGATATAAGGTTTTCTATTGCTTGGGGGCATTTAGTATGCATTGCATCCTTCAGCAACATTTTTATTTCTTTGCCATGGGTGTGGCTTCTCTGCAAGCTGATAGGTTGCAGGAGGTGAGAGGGAGGAGATATCTCAGGGTGGATGTCACCACAGCAGCGATAGGCTATAGTCAAACGGGAGAAAGTGGGTGGGACAGTGGTACTAAAAAGTAACCCTCATTATCCAATGCAGCCAAATATTGGAACAGGGGGTGTGGCTAAACACATTAGCTCCTCCCTTGTCAGGTAAACAGTTCTTACTTGTTTCAGAGGAGTGGAATCACCCTTTGAGTCCACATAGAAGGGAAAAAAAAAAGATTGAAATAAAAAACTGTTAAAAAGTTTTCAGCAAGTTTGGAATGATTCAACCCGTCAACCCTGTGCCATCAATTTCCACAGCGCTTTACATAGATAGTGTACATTCACATCAGTCCCTGACCCTCAAGGTGGGTACAATCTAAGGTCTCTAACCCTCAAGGGGTGTACAATCTAAGGTCTCTAACCCTCAAGGGGCGTACAATCTAAGGTCTCTAACCCTCAAGGGGCGTACAATCTAAGGTCCCTAACCCTCAAGGGGCGTACAATCTAAGGTCCCTAACCCTCAAGGGGCGTACAATCTAAGGTCCCTAACCCTCAAGGGGCGTACAATCTAAGGTCCCTAACCCTCAAGGGGCGTACAATCTAAGGTCCCTAACCCTCAAGGGGCGTACAATCTAAGGTCCCTAACCCTCAAGGGGCGTACAATCTAAGGTCCCTAACCCTCAAGGGGTGTACAATCTAAGGTCCCTAACCCTCAAGGGGTGTACAATCTAAGGTCCCTAACCCTCAAGGGGTGTACAATCTAAGGTCCCTAACTCACATTCATACACATACTAGGGACAATTTAGACAGGAACCAATTCACCTACCAGCATGTCATTGGAGTTTGAGAGGAAATCGGAGGAACCCGGAGGAAACCCGCACAGGAACATGCAAACTCTAGGCAGGTGGTGCCGTGGTTGGGATTCCAACCAATGACCCTAGTACTGGCAGGTGGAGGTGCTAACCATTTAGCCACTGTAACTTGTAATATAAGGTCCCTAACCCTCAAGGGGCGTACAATCTAAGGTCC